GTTAAGTGTGGGTCCTCAAGATCGAAGGTCCTGGGTTCGAATCCTGAAAGATGCAGGAGTCGTGGATACGCTTTGTTGATGAGGCCCATACTTGGACGAAATGGCCGTCCAATGCTTCCAGGTCTTTATTGGTGGTCTAACAATGACTCATCCATGATTTCACTGTATAAAATCATTATTTCCTATTAAAATTCAGTTTCGGAACCTAGGTACTGTAAGTATTGCTATTTGTCGCAAAAATGTATCATGACTCAACCCTCCACCCTTTCCTTAAGTGCATAAATATATACCGTACCTTTGATTACAGTATTTTGACATTCAGTTTGCTCAAAGAGATTATTTGCATTTTGATTTTACAGTCTAAATAGACTGTTTTCTTTCTTCTTATTTGATTAATGAATTAGACATCAATAAAATTGAGAAACAAAATGATAAATTTTAGTATGTTGAAAAATTAACTATTGTCTGTATTTAGAAAGATAAAAATGAATTCTACATCACAATACCAATCTTTCTCTTATTTTCTTAAAAACCCTAGTAACAAACATCACATTCACATAAAGTGGTGTATACACGATTGTTTAAAATGACACAAGTTTATTAGAATTATACATTAACGCGTACAGATCGTTAGGATTTTGTATCCTCTATGAATTTTGAAATTTTTCTATGAAGTTTACTTGCCTTTATCACATAATATACATATATGCATTTTTTGTTAAGTAGTTGGTCGGAAGTAGTTGCCAAGATACCCTAATTTCATGCTAGTTTGTACTTGTCAGTAAGATGTATCAACACGCTTAAGGGAACTAATGCTCCATGTAGGACTTAAACTCATTTCACTTTGCTTCACCGTTTGAAACGTTACCATTGAGATATTCAGGCTGCGAATGGCATCCTGTTGGATTAATCCATTTACACTTACACTTAATGCTGTTTGTTTATCTAAAAAAGATTTTATGAACATAATTTGAATGTAGCTATGTATATTGTACTCTTATCAACTTGAGTTATGGTTTTAATGCTAAGATAAGTTAGTTTTGTGAACTGATTGGGATTCTGTCGAAGTTTTTTTTAAGAAAACACACTGTTTCTTTTCATGCAATATAGAAATGTTTACGAAATATCTCTTATTTTATAGACTGTATTCGTCATTGATTTATCTCAGCTGTGTTACTATTAAAGACTAGAGAGAACTGAACAGATATTATTCTACAATTAGGCTCCTTAATAGTGTCCACCCATGACTAGGGATTTAACCTAGGGTCTTCAGATTTCAGGACGAGCTCTTAACAACTCTCATTTTGTTGGTCTACTTTTTGGGGATAACTTTTTCCAAGTAATTTTATTTGAATAATTTCCTATCCACCTACATTGTTGATAGGAAACAGTAATATTTGTGTATCCAACTTTTAACACATCTGTAGCTTATGGTTCATGAAAAAGTCATCATCACTCTGTCATAAGCCTGCTAATCAATTATTTTTCAAATCTACAGTTTAGGGCGCTAAACTTTGATTCACTTGTTATATTTTCAAAATGAGCTTCATTTACCAGGAGGTTATCAGTTTAGTAGCTTCATTTCTGAGAGTAATCAAAAGATATCAGCTAGTTTGAAACCTGTAAATACCAAAGAATATAAAATTTCGAACTTTAAAAATAAAATTTACTGCATTTTTTCAACAGTCGACAATGAAAATAGACGAGGTTTTTGATTACTTCCATTAAGAAAAATTCAGTTGTTTTGTATCAGATGTCTTATTTTTTTTATTCTGAACAATAGGTTGTCATAGAAAATTTGTCTACCTACCACAATATTTTTTGTATTGAATTGTTTTAAACTCTGGTACAGGATGAAAAACAATACTTTTCATTTCGAAGAATAAGGATCACGTAATGAGTGTCTAGATCACATTGATTCAAATCTTTTTAATTTTCGTCACATTTCGTAATAAAATGTCTAAATATTTCAAAAACTGTCATGTAAGAGACTACTAAACTGCGCATATATGCAAATATCGAGCTTGATTTTAAACTCCTTGACAAGAAGACTTTTTCACTGAATCCCTTGTTTTTCTCAGACGTGTTTTGTAAAGTTATCAAATACAAACTTTTGCTATGATCACGAACTGATTCAAGTCAGATTATCATTGAAAACCTGGAGCCATTAGATGAGCACCCCACTTTAGTGTGTGACTCCTTAGCGGCACACATTCAGGACATCGCAACCGGAAGTCTAGCGTAGGAACGACCCATTGCGTAAACCCCTAATCTTTAGGCCGCTGAACCGGAATGCAATGACGTACAAGTTTATAATGGCTACTTAATGTCACGGATTGATTGGAATTGGACATGTAAACCGTTGTATATTGGTTCAATAGTCTAGAGGTTAAGCGCCCGATCATAATATCGATGGTCTTGGGTTAAACTGTTGTTTACAATGTCTTTACACTCCTAAAAAGTCTCATGTAGAGATGAAATTATCACTCAGTGCTTCCAGGTTTTCAACGACTCACTCACATGGATTGATTCATAATTTTAATAAAATTCAAAAAACCTCCATAATCCTATTTTGATAAACTTTTGTCTTGAACGAAAAACTGAGTTTTCCGTTGTTGATAAACACATCACTCTAATTTTAAATAGAGAAAACCACATGACAGTGGAGCTTTTTCAAATCTACATTTCGCATTATTTTTGGACAGATTAGTAACAATTTTTCAATCTATTTGTATTTTATTTATCATTAAACAACACATTTTACTATTTTTTTTTACATGTAAACTTTGTGTTGATAAGGTGATCAATAGAACCATGCTTAAATCTGCATCTATACTCTTATTATGTTGTTACTGTTTAGTATAAAATCTCTTAGGAATAGTTACATATTGGTTACCAATTAGTTATTTAAAAATTGGACTTTTTAAACTTGATTTGCAAGATCTTAATTCATCCTATGTACGAGTGATTTACAAAATTGACCAAGTTTATTTTTCTGCTAATATTTTGTACATGGGAAGGTGGTTACTTGATTCAACAAAATCCTGTTCTTCTCTCTTGTCTTCTCATGCCAGTTCATTTGGGTGATCGCTTAAATAATCTGGTCTCAAGAGAATAGCAATCACTCTTCCAGATTGTACCATAGCATATCATTTATCGATCGGTATTCTTCGCACTATAATAGAAATCAGTAGTTAGAGACTTTGGGAGGTTAACATACATATTTTAGATCAACTCATTTACCAGGTACTTCATTATAAACTACATTTACTCTAAAGGCCAGGCATACTACATGGTTGCTCAAACTGAAGTAGGTGGTAAAGAATCCGAACCTGATTCCCCGCTTCCAGCAAACGGCTTAGCGCCCAAATGCCCTGGTACGGTCGACAACCGGGAGAGTCCATTTTCCATCTCCAAATTATCTCACATGGCCACGCGTGTATAACCACTGACAGGAAATTCCTACTCATTGCCTCCCTCTGACACAGGTGTTGTTTACGAAATTGAGAGGATGAAAAGTGAATATCCGGTCAGGGCTAAAACCGGGTTGGTAGATACAGAAAGTCGACATGGAGGAGTTGAGAAACTCTGGTTATATGCCAATTATGCACATGGATTCCAGGACCTAGAAGAGAAAAATGGCGTATGAACTTGTCATGAATTACCGGCTAGCATAGGACTGCATCTCCTGACGTTACTCGACTGCTTTTTGGATTAGACCTGCAAGTTAAAGTCTGGGGTTATGACTCCCTAAGAAAAGCACCTACAGTGATTTCGGCAGCTGAGTCGTATCCCATCTTACTCACAAATTCAATAATTTGTGTGGTGTATAAATATTTAGGTGCTCCTTTATACCATTGTTTATGTGTTAAATTAATATTGAATAAAAATGTAACTGAGATCTAGTGACCGAAAGTCAACCACCTTAACCATCAGACATAACTTGGAATCGATCACAATGATGCAGATGTTTTTTACTATCTATAATGCTATTACCATATCTACTCGTTCGGTATTTATCTCAGTAATTACACCTTGCTATGTCAATATGATAAGCAACAATTCGGATCGATGTGTATCTATTCTTTGTTCTATATGACCAACTGACAAAGACAAATGTATATGTTATAGCGGAGAGGAAAAAAATCATCTCGTTTAACGTATTGAATTTGAAGTTACATAATACCTGATTGATATCTTTTCGGTGCTGTTGTTTTTCAATATCAACTTTGGGATACAAGTCCATCTAGTTCAAGAATCCTAAATATTGACTAGACGCGCGTACTGAACTTCACTGCTAGTCAAATTGTATCGATCTATTCTATACTAACTTGTACCATAATAGCTATATCAAGGCAATGCACATGTGTCAACTAAGACTCACCAAATTTCAGTCGAAAATAGCTACAACGAAAAAATCTAATCCATTCCAAATATAATTGTTTTTTGACTGTCTCGAGGAATGACGTCTGATGTAAGGTTAGACTAGAAGAAATCTAGGAGAGGCCAAACTAAAACATGGCACAAATCCATGAAGTCACTGTCAACTAGGCTGAGTTATGTTAGTAGGAGTAGATTACCTGGTTGTGACCTGCCAGACAATAATAACCAATGATTATGGACTTTGAATGACATGGCTCAAAATCATTTGCAATGGCGTCAGTTCATCCCTTCTTTATCTTTAGTGAGCTCAGGACGTTGCCTTATCTCTTTTTAAATTTATTTCACTGAATTATACTTCTTGAATAATAACTTCCAATCCTAGTCTTTTCCATTACTGCTAATACTTCTAATCCCTCTATTACGATGGGATTTTAATTGATAATTTGATCCCGGTGTGCTAATGTGGTGTGGCAACTTGAACTGATATACGTACGCACGTACGTACGAAGTTCTACACTGTAGCTAACTGACTGTTGTTTGTTTGATCTTTTTCTTCTATTTTAGATTATTTTATCATATATATATACATTTGCTATGATTTTTCCTTTTTCTTTTAGGTAACCCAATTTCACCGTCACAGTAGCTGAGACCAATTTCTCTATTTTTTTTTTGAAGTTTTTGTTTTCCAATCAAAAATGTTCATTCAATATACAATGCATTATTAACAATTTCCTCTACCTATATATATATATATAGACCTGGCGCAAACAGAAAGAAAGCCATTTCATTCTCAATGTTAAAATTACCAACATCATCCTTATTATTATTATTATCATCGTCATCATCATCATCATCATTTCTATCATTATTAACACTATTGTTCATTCTTCTTTTGACAAAATGATTTTTTCCAATAAATTTGGATGTTTTTCAATTAGTCATCCAAGGATATTATTATTATTATCGTTATTATTACTTATTCCTTTACTGTTGTTAAATACAGTTAGTGCCAGTTTGCAAAGTAAGTTTAAAAAATGAATGTTTTTGTACATTGTAGTTGTAGTTGTTATTTTCATGCATACATTGAGTTGACTTTGCACTTCTAGGTAAGTGAGCAATATCATATATGTCGAATTCTTTTTAGCGCTAATAGAATTTGTCTTGGCATACCACTCAGCAGTGCACATTTACGATTTTGCAACCGGGAATCGAACTCAGGACCTCCGGTCTCGTGCACGAACGCCTAACCTCTAGCCCATTGAAGCTTGAGATTCTGTGGTGTTTAAGCTGTAACTTCAGTCAATCCACAACATAGCTCAACCATTTATCGTCTTTTGAGGGTGCACCTTTCTCACATTCCGAACATGATATGATTTGTAATATTGTTCTAACAATTCCTATTTTCTCATTTTTTTCCCTGTTAAAACACATAGTTATACCACATTTTACCGGTATACCTCCACCGATCTCACAATTTGTGTATCCATCAACCGATGGTACCAGTTTCCCTCCGCTGGAACTTGTATGTCGAGCATGGCCGGCTAATTCTAAGCTGCATATTTTAGCTCAACAGCTAACATTACCAGGATTCACGGATCAAACGTTTGGTGTAAATTCCATTGTTTCCACTTCATTAATTGCTGGCAATCCTAATCCTAATCATCATAATAACAATGGATTAATACAATTATCTCATGGTCTTGGCAATCAACGATATGCTATTTTACCGGCTTCACAAATCACCAGTTCTAATCATTTAAATGTTGTAGATGATACTACTACTAGTAGTAGTAATACACATCAATCGGTCAATTCATTAATTATTCATGAAACTGCATTAGATGCGATTCGTGACAATCCTGCAGCTGGACCTCATGATGAAGTTGCCATTCGTCTTATAGTATCTAGTCAACCAGAATTAAGTCAAATGGAATTAATGCGATTGCATTGTTTAGCTACTACTTCATTTGGTCGTAAATTAAGTGCACCATTTCGAGTGCTTCCTGCTAGTAAGTTTTTTTTTTAAATTATTTTAAATTTATTAAGAACAGTTTGATAATTCAATTATTATTATTGATAAGGGTCTGTAAATATTCTTGTTGTTGGTATTATGAACTGGAATCGATTAATCTTAGCTATCGCACATATCAGTCAGTCTCGTGTGCTTTTACGGGTATAAGGGCGAATTTTACTTCCCGGCTGCTCATACCGTAGAAGGGTACTTCTTGAGGAACTGATCTGAGCGACCTGGGAGCGTGAACGCAGAGCCTAAGCGACAACTGCTGGTGGCCGATCATGCACGGCCTTTTTATGGGAAGATTGTATAGTGTTAGCTCCGCTCTTCAAATGGCCTTACCACCGGAGATGGAAATCTGTGAGATAAGGTTAGGTATGAGAGTTTTAGGGTCAACCTTTTCTAAGCCCTTCATTCCTTGTGAGAAGGCAGTATCGCTGCAGATATTGGTTGTCTGTGGGAAACACCTTACTGCTTTTACACCCGTTTTCAGTCAGCAGTGCGACTTAGCCCTCAGACGTTGAGTATCTGCTTTTAGTCTTACCGCTCTTCAATCGACCTGCTTGTCATGGTAGGACCTACAGGAACATATGTTCCAGCCAATGTGGGTCAGTTAGATCATCACGATAGGCAATCCCGACCCCACTTCAAGATAGCAGCTACGTTAGGGTATTGCGCATTGATAGAATTGCATTGAAATATCGTAATATCACAACTGTTATTGGCTATCTGAACTCAGTAGCTCAAGGGATAACACTCTGAGCGTTCGAGGTGAAAGGCACTAGGTTCTGACCTCAACGTGATTATCAATACTTGCATCTAGGTACATCCAGCCGACGAGTCCCAAATTGGACGAAATACACGTCCTGGGTTACACCAATATTCACATGCTAAGTTATATATTCTACTAGCTATATGCAACAGTTTCGTTTCTATGTTTAGTAGTTCTTACTTCTTAATTCGATCGTAGGTGATGCCATGGCCTTGTGGTTGAGGCATTCAACTTCTAGACATCAAATCCCAGGTTTGAACCCCACCCCGCCTACTTTAGTTTGGTTAACCAAATAGTATCACTAACTCCCTTATACTTAATCATCATCAGTCTAGTGTCATATAAACTACTCGCTCTTATTCCCCCCCCCCCCATAATGTGTCCAACTTTCTTAATATCTCCACACCATGCTACTCTCATACACTAATACTTCATCACCATTCTTTTTCTTTCTTTCTAATGTCCATCTATTTGCTATCCTAATTTTTTTCCTATTTCTTATAGGTTTAGGTTCATTCCCATCTCCTAGAAATGGTGGAATATCTTCATCTCATACTGAAAATGTTGAATTTCTAAGAGGGAATATTGCTATTGTTGATTGTTATTTACCAATGAATAGTTTTCCTAAACCATTGATTGAATTTGAATTAAACAACACTGTCATTGATCTAACAAGTGAGTGAAATTTTTTTTATGTGTTTATATGTCACATATTTTAAACCATATATGGTTCTAAGGTTCGTTGAAATAAACGTGGATTTGGAAGAAAGCTAGATCTGGCCCAACTAAAAACAGCATTTGTCATGAGGTTATTGACTGTTGTTCCTCTGAGACATCTTAGTAGTTGCGGACTAACTGTTTTAGGTCCGCTGTTTTTTAGGTGAACGTGGATCACCAGTTGTTCACAATCAAAGAGATACATTCTGTTTACTCTTAACAAATGTTTGGCGATACTTGTAACACTACACAACGAATATATGACATGAACAAACTGGACGTCTGTTGCACAATAACACTCCACCGTTCACAATTCACATATTAATAGAGAAGATTGAACTTTCAGGATACGTCTATATATTGAATAACAAACAATTCTGTTAATTTAGTACCATGTAGTAACCTTCAGATAAATAATGAAGTTTGTGTTTCTATTTATTTAAATACACAAACAAAAGAGCACCAAAATATTTACACACCATACAAATTACTGAATTCGTGAGTAAGCTATCTTACAGCCCAAATCGATGTTGGTGGTTTTCTTAGGGGGCCACAACCCGAGAATTTGATATGCAGGTCCAATCCAAAAGACAGTCGAGTAACGTAAGGAGATGCAGTCCCATGGTAGCCGGTGACCAATTACAGGTTCATACACCATTTATCTCCCCTAAATCTTGGAGTCCTTGTGCATGGTTGGCTTAAAAGCAGGTTTTTTTCTCTGTGCCGATTCTCTGTATCCACCAATACGGTTTTAGCCCTGACCGGATATTCACTTTTCATCTTCTCAATTTCGTAAACAACACTTGTGTCACAGGAAGGCAGTGAGTAGGAATTTCCTGTCAGTGGTTATCCACGCGTGGCTATGTGAGATCATTTGGTGAGGAAGAGTGGATTCTCTTGACTCTCAGTCGTATTAGGACAAAAATTGGAAAACGAACAACTCTCTTAAGGTAGTAATGTTTAGCGACCTTTGGACACATTGGGGTTAGAAAACCAAAAACAGCAACGATAATCAGAAAACATTGTCAAAGTTATTCTTTAAAGACAGAATCAACATGTAATAACAAAAAAAACTAGATAATTCGAACCCTTCTTAGCTTGTTTGCTCCTTACCTTCCTCTTCATCTTGAATTCCAGTTTACTTTCATATATATCCTTCCAGTATGCCTTTTCAAGCCCTATTTGTTGATGTTTAATTTTTCTCATTTTCATTGCTATTATACTATTGAGGTTTCTCTTACCAAATACATCTTGTTAATTTCACTTCTTTGTGCTAATACTTGTACCAGTCCACATCTATGCCAGGCTGTATGTTAATGATGTTTGACTGAGTGATGTCTTAGGTAGGTTTAAAATCTGTTTTTGTCATACGTCCTTCAATTTCAACAGTTCAGCGGTATCACTTACCCTCTTAACAAAAACTTATGGCTTAAAAATGAATACACAAGCTTATTTTCAAACGATAAATGATGTTTTTATCACATCATCATTATTATTCTTATTATAGACCAAGAAAATCTAGTTGGATATATGGTCCATTTTAATAACTCATGATTTCTCACTAACCTTACTGATACAATTGTACAATATCTACTTAACCAATAACCTTATTAAAATGTATATGGTTCAAGTATTAAGATTTCCGAAAGCTTGTTTTATATTCACTGTTCCTACTTGGTGAAGATGCTGACAAAATGCAGAGTCTTCTGACTACCCTAAACAACAATGCAAGCATGTTCGGGATGCGGTTTCCCCCCTCGAAATGCAAAATGCTGCTTCAAGACTGGGTTGCATCGGCACCTGAACTAGTGATAGGGAGTGAAGTAGTCGAACGTGTAGACCGCTTCACTTATCTGGGTAGTCTCATCAGTGCCGATGGCCTGGTGACTGACGAAATCTCAGCTCGGATACAGAAGGCTCGATTGGCTTTTGCCAACCTGCGTCACTTATGGCGTAGGCGTGATATCCGTTTGCTGACTAAAGGACGAGTGTACTGTGCAGCAGTTCGCTCCGTTCTCCTATATGGATGTGAAACATGGCCAGTGAGAGTAGAAGATATTCGTAGGTTACTGGTTTTCGATCATAGGTGTCTTCGAAGCATTGCTCGTATATCGTGGGACACCCGAGTGAGCAACGCTGTTATTAGGAATCGGGTGCTAGGTAAGAATGGCAGATCAATAGATGAAGTGCTGAAACTTCATCAGTTGAGGTGGCTGGGACATGCGTTGCGTATGCCTAACCACCGACTGCCTCGTCGAGCTCTGTTTCGCGATGTAGGAGTAGGTTGGAAGAAAGTTAGGGGCGGCCAGACCAAAACATGGCAGAAATCCATGAAGTCATTGACTAGTGGACTGAGCCATGTCGGTAATTGTCGACTACCTGGTTGGGGTCCGCGAAATGATAATAATCGATGGTTAGAGACTTTGAATGACATGGCTCAAAATCGTTCGCAATGGCCCTGGTGCATTTATTCTCTGTGTTCTCTCAAATGCTAATCTTCTGGATTCTTTAACACCTCTAGTTTCGACTCTCTAAGCTTTTCTCACTGAATCATACTTCTTGAATAATATCTTCTAATCCTAACCTCTCCGATTACTTCTAATTCCCTTACTACCTCTACTACTATTGGATTTGAATTGACAATTATATCTCTGTGCTGATGTGGTATGGCGACATGAACTGATGTACTTACATACAAAGTTCTACGTTGCATCTGACTGACTGTTCCAATTGTATAGTTCAAAAAACGTTCTACCATCTTTTATTCGCATCTTCTAAGAATGATTATTCCTTAGTGTATAAAATACAAATAGGAAGAATATTGGATAATACCTTATCAATATTGTGTTGTTGTACCGACCTGTCCCAGCCCTATTCCCTTCGTTATGAAAAATAAGTAGCATTACTAACGATACTGATCGGCTTGAAGAAAAAAGCATTTCAGTACGATCATCCTCTTTCCAGTGTGGTGGATACTATTCACAACCTAGTTTCTAAGTACTATATCGGAGAAGTGTCGGATTGTAATGCAAGGCTCAATCAAGTATCTTGAAGGTCAGAAGATATGTGAAAGAAATCAGTTAATAATCTGCTTATTTTGCAAATGGTAGTCTGTAGATTAGTTGTATATATTTTGTTAGTAAACTATGTCTTCTTTTCACCCTCGTTCATTACACCAACACACTAGTCATAAGCACGATTTCACATTCAAACTTTAAGTTGATACCTTTTAACTTTAGCATTCATCAACTGACCTATCTAGTATAATAGAATCTTGAAGAATGACTAATATAATTCATTTCTATAAAACATTTGTCACATAATGAAATACATTTATCATATTTCTTAGTGAAAAAGTAAGGTTTTTAACACTTTAAAGTCCGATTCTGACTATTCAATGAAATTTTTAAAAAAATAATTAGTTTATTAAATAATCTGGAACTAAATATTTACATTGAAATCATGAATGAATCATTGTTAGACCACCATTGGAAATCTGGAAGGACTGGACGGTCGTTTCGTCCCGATAATGAGACTCATCAGCAGTGCACATCCATGACTCTTGCTAATCGCAGGATTCGAACCCACTGACCTGGTATCCAATGATATTAAAGTAAATTTAAGGATTTTCGCTGATGAACCCCTTATCAGGACGAAACAACCATCCAGTGCTTCCAGGTTTCTAATGATGGTCTAACAATGATTTATTCATGATTTCAATGTAAAACAATGATCTCCATAATACTATAATGCTAAATAAATATTTGCTAAATTGATGATGGTTTGCAATATGCGGTTAGAATATTTCGTAAAAATTTGACATTTTTTATTCGAACTAATCCTGTCACACTCTTACACTCTCGTGCATATGCATATGTGTGCCAAATTATGTCTTATTCTTATTATTATTGTTATTATTATTACTATTATTTGTCTGAACTACTTATATTTTGGCAGTTTTAACCAATACACAGGCTCTTTAATCCCTGTTTCATGTACATATTTTTTCGATACTGAAAATTTAACATTTCACATAAACTGGTTCTTAAACACACATATAGATATATAAATTTTAGTATTGTTGTAACAGTTACAAAAATTATTCGTTTGTAAATAGCGAGCATCAATCATTCTGGTTACAACTTTAACATATCATTTGATAAGAAATTTCTCATAACAAACCGTTATCTGACTATGAACAGAGAAAGAAAAAAAATATTGATCGCCGAAAACTATTCACTATCTCGCTTATCTAACACTAAGTTCCTTTCAAGGATAATAAGAAACTCATGATTGATTGTTTGAAATTTTTCTGATGTTCTATAATCCTGAAATAATGCGTTTCTCGTTTCCATTCCTAAGAAAAGACTCTACTTAAAGTATTCGATAGTTACGGCCGATCGCTTGAAGATGATTTGAGAATTCCTTGAAACTATGCTTCAGATTAAGCAAAACTTGTTAGAAACAGGTTGATTTTCGATTAGATCATTAAAACTTTTTTGCCAGTTCTTAGATGGATAGTAAAAATGATAGATAGCAACTCTTCTGAGTGAATTGTAATTTGTGGTGATATTTCGTTCTTTGAGCTGGATGTTTTGGTTGTGAAGCTTTCATTGTTCTTCTGAACAACATCATCAGCACAAACTTCCACCTCAGCTACACATTTTCTCTACCATCTCGAATTTTAGTTTTTTTCAATACTAAGTGTAATTCATTGCTTGAAGCTTTAAAATCGGAAAATTTGAACGACACTCAAATTCTACTTCTTTGATCTTTTTTTTAGCTGTTGGGTAATAAATGTTACCATGAAAAATAGTACATTGTTTTCGCTCCACAGTTCACCTAATTTCATCAATTTAATTAGGGGTGGCCAAACCAAAACATGGCGGAAATCCATGAAGTCACTGACAAGTGGACTGAGTCATGTTGGTAGATGTAGACTACCTGGTTGGGGTCCGCGAAACGATATTCACCGATGGTTAGAGACCTTGAACATCATGGCTCAGAATCGTTTGCAATGGCGCAGGTGCATCCACTCTCTGTGTTCTCTCTAATTCTAACCTTCTGAATTCCTCATCATCTCTATCTTTCTCCTTCTAAATTTATCTCCCTGAATTATACTTCTCGAATCATATCTTCGCTCCCTAATCTTATCCATTACTATCACTATCACTCTTATATTTTTTCAACTGATAGTTGCATCTCTGTGCTGATGTTGTATGGCAACCTGAACTGATATACTTACGTACGAAGTTCTGCGTTGTATCTTTCTGTCTGTTTGTCAAAAATTATTCTTGTGATGCTGTGACTTGTTGTTGTTGTTAAAATATCACTTGGTTTCAGGCTAATGAACCCTGTGACACGTCTCCTGATTTTTAAGCATCCTAACAGACACGGTATCACTAACGCTTACAGATAAAAAGTGTATTCCACAGCCAAGTTTATGAATTTATACTTAGCAGTAAAGTTTCATTTATGATTTTACTTTTGATAATCAGTCCATAGGGATTTAACAAACTAGGCATATCTGCATAGCTGTGATTCAACAAGGTGTGTATACTCTTGAATTCTAATCATTCTGTTCCCAAACTTTTAAACCACACCTTATCTTATATGTATGTATGTTTCAGTAACTAACTGAGTAATAACCTCTTTAAATCTTCATTCAATTCTGCCTAAATACAAATGCCTAGAACATAAAAATAAGTATAAGTTGGATTAGATAGATGTTTATATTGTGTCTTATACAACATATATGATGTATAAGCAACGATATGTAGTGATTGATAATTCACATTGATGTAGCGGTAATAAACATCTAGAAATAAATTGGATACTATCTAGTTGTACAATAACCAGATCATTATTTATATTGGATACAACAGACACTTACTTAGGCATATTTTCACACTTGAATTTAGGCGTGTATGTTTGGTTTATTTTTCCCAAATACGTATCCACCTAATTTATCTCTGCTAGTCTATAAAAATAAAATCCTACCTTAGTGATGCAAGAACAAAGGATATTTGAAAGAAGAAGAAGAATAATCAGTATTTAAAAAAATGTATTTCAACCATGAACTGCTTGCTATCTGAATAACTCAATCGACATAGATTGGCTGGTACACTTATTCTTTTAGATTTTATTTGTGTTGATGATATTGTTCAGAAGAGAATATTAAAAGCTTCATAACCAAACTAATCCAGATTAGGAAATGAAACTTAACCGAAAAGGTTCTACCATCCTTGGTAGGTTGATTGATTGAAAACTATAAAATTCATGGGGCTCCATAAACAAAAACATAATACTATGGAGTAGTGATGGTAGTTAGGTGTTTCTTCATTTATTGACAACTATTAACCTACCTGGTTTAAGATACTTTTGTTTCAGCTAAATACTTTTTGTATTCAGAACAAATATATTTTCCACGCATCATTGATTATTGTCTTTTTTTCCTGAAAAAACAAACAATCGAATAACTTTGTAGCTTCACAAAATGACAAATATCGTCAAGTTATCCGTCCAGACGGGAAAAGAATTAGTTTATTGATACAAAATTTTCAACCACGTGATTGTGGTGTCTATCGTTGTGTGGCAATTAATCCGCTAACTAAAGAAAAGAAATATTCACCAGATGCTGTGAATTTGAAAATTATCAGTAAGTCTGTTTTTTTTTAATGCCTATTTATCTATGTCAGTTATCGTTGGTGTCTTCGAAGCATAGTTCGTATATCCTGGAAGCATCGAGTAAGCAGTGCAGTCGTTAGGAAACGAGTACCTAGGTAAGGATGGCAAATCAGTTGATGAAGTGGGGAATCTTCATCATTTGAGATGGTTGGGGCATGTGTTGCCCAACCACCGACTGTCTCGGAAAGTGGATGATGCCTGGTGTAGGGGTAGGCTGGAAGAAAGCTAGGGGCAGCCAGACAAAAACAAGGCACAAATCCCTGAAGTTATTGTCAGCAGGATTGAGTCATGTTAATAGTTGTAGACTACCTGGTTGCGGTCCGCGAGATAGTTAGAAACGTTAAATGACATGGCTCAAAGTCGTTTGCAATGACACAGATGCATCCATTCTTTCTGTTCTCCCGAATTCTAATCTAAACGTCCCATAATCTTCATCTTCCTCTTCTCAAATCTATTTCACTGGACTATACCTTTTGAATGATATCTTTGGACCGTGATCTTTCCGATTACTGCTAGTACTTCTACTACCTCTACCATTATGGGATTTAAATCGACAATTGCATCTCTGTGCTGTCGTGCTATGGCAACTTGAACAGACATACGTAAATAAGAAGTTCTACGTTGTAACTGACTGACTGAAGTTGACAGAACACTATGGGATGGTGGCCAAATCAACACATATCATCCATCAGTCTGTGAAATTACTTACTACTGGATTGAGTCATATGAAAAGATGTCGACTAATACCTACCTAGTTGCGGTCCGTCGTCGATATATGAAGATATTGTATGAAATGGCTCAGAATTGGTTTCAATGGAGTAAATAAATATATTGTTTTGTATTTTCATAATTGTAAATACATCTACTTAGTCTTCACATACTCTTATTCCAGTTTTGTTAGTGTTGGCTAATTAATCAGCTTATTTTTTCAAATTATGTATTGTATTGATAACAATCAACAATATTTATATTGTACCAGCATATACATATACAAATACAATTATAAACTCAATTGTAAGCTAGCTCACTTATTCTATTCTCCCTTCAATCTAATTTAGGACAATATATTTTTGACATAAATATTATATTATGATGAATAAAATTTAATTGTCAGCCCATATTCAGTATCAATAAAATATATATTATTTATTTTTTTTAAAATAATGATTATAATATCGAAATTTTCTGTTTCTCATTTTCGTATTTAATTCAATGATAAATACTATTTGGTAAACTAAATACTTAAATATGAAGAAGTGATAAGGGGGATTTGATTGTGAATAAGGTGATTCCAAGCACTATCTGAGTCAGTTGCAACGTAGAACTTCTTACGTATGTACATAAGTTCATGTTGCCATACCACATTAGCACAGAGACGCAAATGTCAAATCAAATCCCATAATGATAAAGATAGTAGAGGTATTAATGGTAATGAAGAAGATTAGGGTTTAAAGATATTATTCAAGAAGTATAATTGAGTGAGATAAGGTTAGAAAGACAAAGGTAAAGGTGCTTAAGAATCCAGAAGATTAGGATTTGAGAGAGCTCAAAGAATGGATGAACTTGCGTCATTGCAAACGATTTTGAGCCATGTCGTTCAAGGTCTCCAACCATTGGTAACTTTCGTCTCGCGGACCCCAACCAGGTAGTCTACATCTACCAACATGACTCAGTCCACTAGTCAGTGACTTCATGGATTTGTGCCATGTTTTGGTCTGGCCGCCCCCTATCTGAAGTGTTCAGGCATTTTTCACTTCTCGGTTGCTCACACTGTCCTAAGGGTTATGTTGTTGTTTGAAGTTTCCTGAAAATGAAACTATACAGATGGTGATGATGATGATCTCAGCAATCTGGAAGCGTGATTGCAGAGCCTAATTAACAACTGCTTAAGGTTAATAGTTACACACGCCTTTGTTCGTAATCAGTTCATAATGCGTTAACCCGAGTACTTTTCAGGCACCACTATCACCAGCATTGTAAATCTCTAAAAGAGAAGGTGAGGTGTGCTTTTCATTAGGGTTTATTATTTCTAACTATCCTTTACGGTTGTGGGAATATAGAAATAAATGCATTAACTAGAGGAGAATTTCACACAGTAAAAGTGCTTTGATTCAGGTGACCGCATACGCTGACTAAACCGTCAAGTATAGAGTTTCATTAGTTGGATTTAAAAAAAAAGTTTATTAAAATGAATTCATTTGATGAATGAATCTGTAACTATGTAATTATCGAAATTAATTAGATTTCAACGTATTTTTTTAGCTTTGTACTGCTAATTTTGGACCATTTATTTACATTTGTCTTTTGAAATCAACACTAATAAGTCTACATTTCTTTGTCAGCTATTAAATTCTATCAAAGTAGTCTGTGTAACATGATATGCAATCACTGTAATCGATAATGCTCTTCTACTGGTTGCTGGCTCAGTGGTCCAGAGGTAAAGTTTTGGTGTGCAAGACCAAATGTCTTAGGTTCGATTTCTCCGAATAGCTGGAGCCGTGGATGTTCACTGTTGATGAGTTCCATACCAAGACGAAACGGTCATTCAGTTCTTCCAGGTTTCTACTGATGGTCTAACAATGATTTATTCATCATTTCTAGATTTCTATTCTAGAAACTTGTACCCCTTCATTTCTCTTTCTTCCTCTACCGTAGAATATGTAGTCACTCTTCCTATCTTGTCTACTGCACAGATAAGATCTGTCACCGTGTGCGTAATTATCAAGTTGAATCTCCGCGTAATTTCATCATTAAGCTCAAATATCAGTCCAGAAAAAGAAACAATCATCATTAGCTTACGGCTTATATGTTCCATCATTCTCAGTATCATTATGACTACAATTACTTCGGTCCATTTGACTATTCATCTTATGATATCAATATAGTATGGCGACATGTGCCAAAACGCACATGATGATTGATTGACTGACTGACTGATTGACAGCCTACAAGCCCATCAATGTAGAGAGAAAAGCCAGTGGCGTTCAAATTCACCTCACTATTTCAAATGATTAATTTCCTCTCTATCTCTCTGTCTCTGCGACTCCACCCTTGTCAATAACTAAGTTATTCATCACAGTATCTTGTACTACTTAGAGTTAGTCACATATACTAATGATGAATTGTATCAATCAACTACAATTTTTATTTACGTAATCTATATTCAACTTGTGTTAACAAAATGACCTTGAAAAAGGACTTCATTACCTAAACGAAGCAAAGTCCCGTTTACTCTAGATCATCCATGTGATTATTAATACTACTTAAATACATTTTATGTCTTTTGACAAACTACTCACATCCCATCGTATCCTCTCAGATCATCTATGTTTTAAATAGGCTAACAATAATCCCTAATGGGGATGATGCAAATAAACAAGCTGAAAGTTTTTTTCAATGTTTCGTATACTTTTCTGTTGGAAGTATTTAATATTTTCCTATCTTATCCTATAAAACTCATTGAAAGATTCATTCATATCAATTATATTAAGTGTTTCTGTATATCTCATCATTTTGTATGTATAAATGTTGTTAGTATCTTCTACTATCTAGTATTTGTTGGACGCACCACTGTATTTGACTAATTGCAATTTAAAATATGAATTCGTATAGAACAATAATATATTCCAACAGTGAAACTGTTAGTATATACGCCAGACTATTCTTCTTACATCTTCCTAACCTATATACAAACACTAACTAGTGCTGATTGGCTGGAAATTAAATCAATCAGTCAACGTGTTCCGACATGATATTATCTCAAACATGGGTGCACGAAGGTTTTGTCCTGTCAACACAAATGACAACTCTAGTTATTCATGAGTATATTTTTGTCATGTAGTGTATACATTCACTACAATAAATGTTATGCTGTAAAAAGGCTCTTTTGTAGTGCATAACATTCATTATTGTTTACATTTTTCATCAATCTTTTTTTTCTAAAACATGCTCATATTGAAGAAGAAATACCTGAAAATCACGTTCTTTCGGGAGTTTTACCCGTAAATATCAGTATTTTCATTGATTTCATAAAACTGTTGACGTTTTATATCATTATTATTATTGTTATTATTATTATTATTATTATTATTATTATTATTATTATTATTATTATTATCAATTATTATACTAGTCCCAGATGTTCCTGTTGCCGGAAAAATTCGTGTCCCTATGGCATCGGAATCAATAGATCCCCGAAATGCAGCAGCATCTCAAGAGATAGTTGTTCGAGAAGGTCAAAATGTGACATTGTTTTGCATAATTCAAAGTGCTCCACCTCCAATTGTCACTACTTATCCATTTGAACAAAATTCTACTGCACATAATCGTTTTCATCGGCATAATTTATTTGGTAAGAGTAATTATTTCTTTTATTTGTCTGTTTTGTTTTATATTGTAGCTAAAATGAAATGTTGGTAGTGGTTGTGTTAGTGGGACATAGATGGAATTAAAGCATGACTACGTTGCTACGCGCTGATTGGCTAATTTCCTATCCAATCAGCTGCATGCTGATTGGTTAAATCTAATCCAGTCGATCACGTGAATTTTATTCCAGAAGCTTTCTCATGTAAATGCTATAAATAGACTAGCGTTGTATCTATT